TAAAAAGGTTAAATACCTGTAGTACTGTCAGTGATCCTGGAATTTAGGTCAGCGACCCAGGTTTCGAACCTAAAGGTTCATTTTCAAGCAGGTACCAGTTAAAAACACATAATCCTCTTCATAATTGTGGAGAGTCGTTATAACACGTAAGACACGAACACGAAAACACTAAACATTAAACAAAATTGGCCAATTATAATACTGGTACGGTAGCGTGCGTGGTGTAGCCGGCAAAAGATGAATCATGACTCATCTTTTGCCGGCTACACCACGCACGCTACCGTACCAGTATTATAATTGGCCAATTTTGTTTAATGTTTAGTGTTTTCGTGTTCGTGTCTTACGTGTTATAACGACTCTCCACAATTATGAAGAGGATTATGTGTTTTTAACTGGTACCTGCTTGAAAATGAACCTTTAGGTTCGAAACCTGGGTCGCTGACCTAAATTCCAGGATCACTGACAGTACTACAGGTATTTAACCTTTTTATTAAAGACATTTGAATTAAAGTTTATGTTTAATTCTACCACACAGTAGTATTTTGTATTATTCTAGACAATGAAGAGCTATGAAATTTTACAGTTTTAGTAATTTGCATTAAATTTAATCATACAAGCTGAACAAGAAAAATGACTTTTCTATATTTGCAAAAATATTATTGAAGCAGTGCTATAGTTGGAGAATAAATATTGTATGAATAAATATATGTAATGAGCATACAAAAATATGTTGTAAAGGTGAAATATACTGAAAGTTTCATACCAAAAACAGGAATTCACTTCATGACTTTGAAAGTTACCATTCCATGATAGAATTTAAACAGTAAGAACAAATAAATAAATCCTTTAAAACAATGGAGTTTAGAATAATATGAAGATTTAACTGCAATTTAAAGTAGAGAATAAAAGGTAGAAACAGACACAGACTTGTCAAAAATGGTTACATACATTGTAACACTGTAATTTTGGAATTTATTTCCAAAATGACAAATCCTGGTAGAAATGTCTAGCTAACATACCTGTTTAGCAAACCAGTGGCATACCTAATTGGTCTTTTTCAAATCACCTCAAAACCAATTTGTTTACTTTATTTAGTTTTTCTTTTCAAAGTAATATAATTCAGCTAACTTATCAAAGAAAATTTCCAGCAGGGGCTAATATATACACAATAACAGTTCACATAGCATAACAGATGATTCCTTCTAAAATGGAACTTCTTCAGAGAAATGTTGAAGAGAAATGTCAGTTTAAGTTCAAAACTGGAGGACCATGATGGCTACTCCAGTTTTCAACTTGGCCTGAAATTGATCTTTAACCTTCTCTCTGAAGAAGTCATGTATCAGGAGTAGGATTCTGCGGGTCTCAAAAATGTTAGCGTCGGGCCAGGCCAACGGCTGGCCTGAGAAATTGGCCCGGGTCAGAAATCATTTTTCAGACTAAACTCGTGTTGATCAATCACATTTAGAGGAGAAACTCGATGGTCAATCCAATCGCATCGAGATTGCAGAAAGAATCTATAAAGGTTGTACAATCTAAACTTTATGATTCCACGAATTAGGGACATGTTCAAGATTCCCCCAAGCTAGCAAAACACAATGATAATGTCTCCCTGGAAGAAATTCATCATTTAACCGAGATTGCAGGAGTCATTTACGACTACAGGAGACATGCAGAATCACGGAAGATAATGTACAGTATTTTAAAACTATTATAATGCAACAATTAATATTTAAAAAGTTAATACCTTACAAAACAAAATGATTTTGGGCCCATCTCGATTTTGGGCAAACACCTGTAAACTTCACCCAAAGTGAAAAAATCTGACCCTCAGACCTCTAATTAGGAGGAAGTATCAATAATTTTTTTGTGTTCTTTTTATTGTGTATGTATCAAATCAACCCATGGTCATAATTTTCTCAGGTACGCTAGCTGAACTCTATGCATATCCTTTAAAAAAATCCTGATCTGTTACTAGAGTTTCCCTAAAAATCTATGAAAAAATTTAGGATTATTATTACAAGGATAGGGATTAGTTAGCTTACCTGGTAGACAATGTCCAGATTAGCCTCAACACACATAAAACACATAACAGTCTTCTTTCTTCTCCCTTCTGATGAAGTCCCTAACTGGGATGAATAGAGCGGAGGCTGGCGTTTACCCCCCCTCCCCCCCCGGTGGGAATTTTCGACATATAAATTTTTTGGTTTGTATTGACATGTACTTTAAGGTTTTAGGTGTTTGCCACTTGTAAATTACAGCATGTTCCGGAAAACACGAAAATATTATGAATATATATATTTTAAAAAATGGTTTTTCTTTAGCGAGTTCGTTTGGCTCTACAACCCGACCGATTTTCATGATTGAGGTCTCAAATTGAAGGTATTAACGCACAGATTTCACATCAAGCATCGGCATATAGTTGCCTACAGTCCCACTCGGCTTATACGTAAACAACATTTTTTCCCATGTATTTCTTATGGGAGTTAAATTTGGTTTTTATTTTCCGAGTTAGTTTGGCGCTTCTACCGACCCGATTTTCATTATTGAGGTCTCAAATTGAAGGTATGCACGCACAGATTTCACATCAAGCATCAGTATATATTTATCGAAAGTCCCACTCGGCTTATACGTAAATTAAATTTACCCCCCATCTATTTCTAAAGGGAGTTAAATTTGTTTTTTTTCCTTTTCCGAGTTTCTTTGGCTCTTCTACACGTCCGATCTTCATGATTGAGGTCTTAAATTGGTAGTATGCACACATATATTTCACATCAAGCATCATCGTATATTTATCTACTTTATTACTCGACCGAAAAACATAGGTTTGATATATTTTTTAATTCGTATTTCAATTTAAATTGTACAGTATTTTACCATTTGTAATTATATAACCCTATATATTTTGGTCTAAGAACCTTCAGTGAAATACCGGCTTGCATTTAAGATATTAGTTATTCAAATCGGACGGTTTTCAAGCAAACGCAAGGTGAACATCCAACATAAAAAAAAAATTATAAGGTTTTTCTATGATTGAATATCAATTGCTCCAGTATTGTTTACGTTTTTTTATATGTTTTAGACTCAAAATAATCAGTCAATTATAGGCTTTAATTTGAGCTATTGATCGTTTGAATCAGTTAAGTTTAAGATACTGTATTACACAATCAAAAATCTCAGATATGATATTTATTTTAACGCTGCAGCGCAGCATGGGTCCTTTAGTATAGATTTTTTAGTTTGATTTGATTTGATTAGTTGATTCCTGACGTAGGACGGGCCCACAGCTAGTTAGAATTTGAAAATGCAAGTATGGTGAAGTCATCAGATTGTTCTCACAGTGACATGCAAGCAAATAAAATGAATTAAGTGAGCAAAGTATTTTGCAAGTACTGTACTTGATGCTTTTGAACAATGCATTATTCTGCTTAAAGTTGAAAACCGTGATCAGAATTCCTAGATGGCCTGTTTATCAGCTGGAAGACCTGTACCCGAATCGGTGGAAGACAATTTACTCAATGTAGATAATCTAGGGAAAGCTGATTGCAAACAGATTAGTTGAGATATGAGCTAAAAGAAATATTTTTCTGGTGTTTTACTGCTGTCCCAGGAATGTGATATTAACCTTGAGAAGCTGATGACATACCCATTAGATCCAGGACCATGGGCATTAGCCACTACTGATGGATGCCCAACAAAAACAGAAAAGGCCAAACTGCTCCATGCTTTGGAGAACAAGGGTATATAGTAGACGAACCTTCCAAGATTGAAGAATGTATGTATGTAATTGACGGTATGGCTTACTTTTAGGTTCTTACTAATATTCCAGAAACCTCTGGTGAACTAGCACAGATTGCCTTCAGCCGTTTTCCGAAATTCAGAAGGATATACTTTATTACGGATACCTATTTAGGTGTATCTATTAAAAACATTGAAAGGGAGAAGGGGATTTGGAGACACGTTTTTAATGAGAGGTCCAAAATCAAGATCCCACGGGATTGGAAAAAAATCCTAGCTAATGGTAAAAATAAGGAACAACGGGTTAACCTGCTAAATAATGAATGGTCTCAGCACAAATATGCATAAATTCAAACAAGCTTCAATACACGTTTAAGGTTCTTTTTGGTGATATTTTGAAATTCACCCCCCACCTACAAACAGGGTTGCTAAGAGTAACTTAAATGTTTGTAAAGGCAACCCATATCAATCAGCACATTATTTTAAAGAAATTTAAAAAGAAACTTACAGTCGCAAATCCGATTTTGATACGAGGAAAACAAAGTTTTATACGTTAATTTTACTGGAACCTTACATTCCAGTAAAATTTACGTAAACAATTTCTCAATAAAATTTATTTAATTTAAATAGAATCTCTTAAAATCTCTTTCCTAGAGGTACTCGTTAAATCTAATGTTATTTAAATAGATTTAATTGAAAATCAATTCAGGCCAATTTGAAATCCGCATTGCCTGCAGGTTTGCTGCAGCGGGGGTATTTTATAAACTTTTTTATTTTCATTTGAAGCCTTTGAATACATACTGAAGAAGTCAATAAAAAAATATTTCACCAGTAATTAACGCAGGCTACCCTTATGTAATTTAAATCAAACAGTTTTTAAATTTAACAGTTTTTCTTTATTTTCCGGAATACGCTGTAATTTAAAAGAGGCAAACAACTGAATTCTTAATCTGGTAGGTAATACCAACAAAAAAAAGTATAAGTCATAAATTCCCACGGGGGGGGGGGGGGAGGGTTTCATATTGGTGGCTCGTGGTCTAGAAATATTAAGTTTTCTGTTTAGTGTTAAGTGTTTTATGTAACTAGACTAATTAGGACTCTGTCTACCATGTAAGCTAACTGATCCCTATCCTTGTAATAATAATCCTAACTAGCCAACTGGCCTTTCCTTAACTTCTAACCTATGAAACAATTTAGTATTTTTTTAGAGTATGGAACCATTCAGACGTGTCTGGCCAACCACTATCCCAGCCTGGCCTGCCCACCTGCTTACTGTACGATGTGTCGGAGGTCGGAGTCTTGTATGAGCCGAGGAGATGTCTCAGATCTGGAGGAAGGCAGGACACCAGGTCCGACAGGTGAGGGTTCCTGTCAAAGTCATGACTGTAATCTGACGATATCCTCACTCCAGAACTGCTCACTACACTGGAGCCTGCAAACATTCAACAGCTTAGCTATCACTGCAAACATTCAAATTAAATTCATAAGGAATTATTTATACATTATTTATTATTTACTTTATGGACGCAACAAAACATCAGCTGGATTGAAAACTAGCATATAATAGGTTACGTACCGTGTTCCGTCTTGTGTCTTAACTAAGTCTATGGATGACTAGTTTCGAATACAAAGACCCATTGCCGATTATCAAATCCTTATTTAAAACATCATTGAATATGGTCAAACATCCGACATAAGTCTTCATCAATGTATACATGCAGGCCGACACATAAAATTTACAAATAAAAAAAAATTACAAATACATTTAATACGATAGGCCGGCCACATTGAATACAGGACAAACCGACGCAGGTTACAAATTATACATAGGCCAATCGGGACGTTCTTTCAATACCAGATTTAAAGAACACCTCCCTAAACCAAAACTGTCACTACAACGATCCAAATTTGCAGAACATCTAGTAAATGCCAATCACAATGTCAATAGTTGCCAAAATAATTTACAAATCTTGCACAAATGCAGTAAACACATGAACGTCTTAGAGAGTCTTGAAATTCATAAAGCTAACAAGAAATCCTCTCAATACGTCTTGAATGAAAAACTAAATTTTGGTTCAAATATTTTATTTGGTAGAATTGAAAACATTGACATCAGAGCTACTACAAGTCTTTATCAGCTGACGTAACCCCTCCCCCAAGGTCAATGTCACCAACTGGACAATGGATAGTTCTGTCGTGTCCGCTGTGTAACCTGCGTCGGTTTGTCCCGTATTCAATGTGGCCAGCCTATCGTATTAAATGTATTTGTAACTCTTTTTTTTAAATTTGTAAACTTTATGTGTCAACTTGCATGTATACATTGATGAAGACTTACGTCGGATGTTTGACCATATTCAATGATTTTTTAAATAAGGATTTGATAATGGGCAATGGGTCTTTGTACTCGAAACTAGTCATCCATAGACTAAGTTAAGACTGAAGACGGAACAAGGTACGTAACCTATTATATATTCGAATATCAGTCTTGGTGGCAAAGATTTTTAAATGAAAACTAGTGGCGATTTGAAAAAGAACTTACAAGAATAGTTAGAAACCAAAATAATTTTGAATTTATTTTTATATTTAACACTTTTAAAACAGTTACATAACTTAGTGTTTTACACTTGTGTGCTTTAACTGGCCAAACCTTCATTTGAATACAGCACTGGTTTAGAGGTGGCTAGTTATGATGAAGAATACGTGGCATATAATACAGAACAATATAAAATATACAACAAGCCAATATAGATACATTAATAGATGTAGTTAACTCAAAAAGTACAAGGATTTTCGGTAAGTTAAGATATGATAGGTTACGTACCTTTTAGTTTCTCTTCAGTCCTTAATATAGTCAAGGGGGGCTAGTTTTGGGTCAGAAATTACCCATTTTCAAACCTGACAGAAGTCCTCAATATAACACATAAATACAGGTCAACACATAAACTTCAAACATTTTTAACATAAAGAACATTTAATGATGGTCAGTGTGTCCCTCGTATAATTGTGGCCGGCTACCATCATTAAATGTTCTTTATGTTAAAAATGTTTGAAGTTTATGTGTCGACGTTTATTTATATGTTATAACGAGGACTTCTTTCGGATTTACGGACCAACCAATTTGATGACATGGGTTTGAAAATGGGTCATTTTTTACCCGAAACTAGTCACCCTTGACTATATTAAGGACTAAAGACAAATTAAATGCTACGAAGCCTATCATTTTTGCCACGAGGACTGATGTACGAATGATATGATAGCCTATCATATCATTCGTACATCAGTCCTCGTGGAAAAAATGTTTAAATTAAAGTATGAAACGTGTTCCAGTCACATCCATACACTCTAGTAGTTTCCCTCACATCATTATCAGCTCCTACTAAAAATCGTTGCATAGGGATGGAGACAATCTAGAATTGCAGTGGGGGAAATAAACAACACGACGCTGGAGTCAGATTTAAGGTAGCAAACTTGGCCTTGTTGAAGGTATTAATTTTAGGACAACCCTTGTATATTTCACTAATATAGGATCAAAATTGACAAAGCAAAATACCTTTTATGCCACACTACACAGTTTTCATGAACTTCCCACGCGAAGATTTAGTCCAGAAAACAGCTGTTTACCTCCAGCTTAATCAAATGGGGTTTCATTATGTAGTACTGTACTGTAATGAGTTTTTACCGGACACCAGCTGATTATATTTTGCAATGAGTGGCTATTAAAAAAAGGCATTCATTCGTGTTTAAGGATTGATCGGGATGATGGTTATGGAGGTGTCGTATTCATCATCCATATATTGTTACAATTCCAAATTGTAAAAGAATTCAACTCACCGGCATTTCAAATATTGGGCATAAAAATAACAAATCTTGGAAAAAAGATTTCCATACATAATTTATATTGTACGAATAAGATTATAAACCAGTCTTTTTGGGAACAGGAGGTATTTTCCCTAGATAAAGACTACCGTACCCGTACATATTAATCTGTGGGGATTTTAACACACACCACCAATTTTGGAACTGTCGTAAACCAGATAGAAGAGGAAATGACATTTTTAGACACTATAGCAACTCAAATCTCATTCTAGCAAACAATAACTCCTACACAACCGTGCCAAACCTGTTTAATAGACAGTCAGTAATAGACCTTACCTTTGCAACCCCGGAATTATATGCTAACACAAATTGATGGGAGGTGCTTAAAGATCCTATGGGTAGTAATCACTTCCCAATTAGTTTTAATATTAAACTTAACCATGAGATACAGGCAAATTCAGAAAACAGTTCCCAAAAATCAGTCAGGAGAAATTTCCATAAAGCTGATTGGGCTAAATATAATAAAACAGTAAAAGAGTATTCTAAGGATATTGTCGATGTACCCCCTACAGAACAGTTAGAGAAATTGATTGAAGTTATTAACAAATCTGCAGATGAAACAATACCTAATTGGAAAATTCCAAATGTTAAAAACCAAAAAGGTTTCACACCCAAACCATGGTGGAATGTAGAATGCTCTAGAGTGGTTGCAATACGGCGACTCAGATTTAAAACGTTTAAAATGGACATGAATCCAGTAACCTACAGACAATTTCAAGAGGCACAACAGCATGCTAAAGATGTTATTCAGAAGGCAAAAAAGCCAGGTTGGCATAATCTGTGTAACAAATTTCAGGATAAAAATAACATAAAATACGCCTGGAAAATAATAAAAAAAACTCAAACCCAATCAGAATTCCAATATCTTACCAACTATAAAAGACGACAGAGACCTTGCCCAGGAGTTCATACAAAATATAGTCCCCGATTATGTCCCCAATGCAACAGAAATTACTCGACCTATAATTAACGACACAAATAGCGCACTTGACATCGAGTTTAACATGAAGGAATTAATGGATGTACTCAAATAAAAAAATAAAGATACTGCGCCAGGTTTTGATTTAATTACTTACAGTATGATTAAGAACTTACCAGAAGAAGCTCTTACGATACTTTTAAATATTTATAACGAAATATGTAATGATACAATTAATATTCCAAAAAGGTGGAAAGAGATAAAAATCATCGCTCTGCTGAAGCCAAACAAAGATAAGAATAATGCAAAATCATATCGTCCTATATCTTTAATATCAGTATTTATAAAGGTTACGAATACAATGATTAAAAAAAGACTAGATTGGATTGTAGAAAAACTCCAAATAATCCCTCCTTCTCAGTATGGTTTCAGAAAGAAGAGAGGATGTGCAGATTATTTACTAAACCTAAGTCTTGACATAGAAACTGTCAGTTCTTTAAATCAAACTGTAATTCTCACTGCTCTCGACATTTCTAGTGCTTATGACTGTGTCAACTTACCATACCCATTCAGGAAAATGTACATTTACAACATACCAAAAAAATGTATCACACACTGCCAGAAATGGCTTGTAGACAGGTCACTCCAGATGTCTATGGGTGAACATTCCTTAGAACGAGTTACATGCCGAGGAATTCCACAAGGAAGCATTCTAAGCCCTTTGTTATTTGCCATATACTGTACCTATCTGAAATCAATAGATGTTTAACAGAAGGAGTTTCCTCCCTGCAGTATGCTGATGATGTATCGATATACTCATCAGGCAAAAAAATAAGCCAAAGAGTTGAGAAAATGCAAACTGCTCTGACAAACGTCGGAAATAAGCTAAATGAATTGCACCTCGGAATAAGTGCTGAAAAATGCAAAACCATGGTCATATAAAGAAAGAGAAGGATAGACAGAGAATTTAACTTGGAATTGGAAGGACAGTTACTCCCAACTGAAGAAAAAATCTAACTCCTTGGAGTTACTATAGACAATAAATTGAAGTACCAAGAACACATTACAAATATTGCCAACCGATGTATTAGAGATCTAGATATAATAAGTTACAACCTGCGGAAGAAAAGGAGCAGACCCTCAATTTGCACTGAGCCTATATAAGAGCCTAATAAGACCTAAATTGGACTACTGTTCGATCCTTTTCGGGCATCTGCTAGAAAACAAATTACATAGCCTAGACAGTATTCAAAACCAAGCAATTAGAATGGCATGAGGGACCTTTAAATCATCGCCCATTATTGCCTTTGGAAAATGAAGCTGCAATCGAGCCTATGAAACTAAAACATAAAACCCTTACTGAAAGATTAATTTATAAGACAGCAACATGCTTATACCTAGACATGCTAACAAAAATCAATTCCTTTCGGAAGAACAGAAAGATGCCCATATATATAGAAACTTTAACAACGATCAAGAATTTCAATCCGGGCTTTTTGGAAGCTACAACAGAAAGATTCAAATCAATCGAATGGGAAACTTATCCCCTGATAACCGAATTTAATGCAAACATTAATGACTCTATTGAAATACCACCCTAACAAAAAAAGGAACCAACCCAATAATGCTCCAACAGTTGATTAATCAAAAAATTACTATAACCTATAAAAAAGCAACCCAAATCTTTACAGATGGATCCAAAACAGTTTATGGAACAGGTGCAGCATATGGATACTTCAGCCAAACCTAAAAGAAAAATATAGACTTCCAGAAAACACATTGATATACACAGCTGAACAATATGCATTGTACAAAGCCACAGAGAAAATCAGAGACATCTCAAACGAGTCAATTGTAATATGCAGTGATTCACAGTCAGCCATCAAATCTCTTCTAAGCATTCACAACGGAAGAATAGAAGATAACATTAGCCTAGGAATATTAGGGAACTGCTTAGTCACTAATAAGAAGGTTAATTTCCAATGGGTTCCTAGTAATGTTGGCCTTAAAAACAATGAAATAGCGGACAAACTAGCTAAAGAAGCTGTTAAAATGGGATAGAAAATAATGATATAAATCTACCTCTGTCAATACATCAATACAGGAATACAAAAATGAAACATTACATTCATCGACCAAATCTAGATGGTATAGGAGTATACAAGAAAATAGTCTTGCACACTCATGGCTCAATGGCATTAAGATGACAAGAGCTGATATTATTAACATTATAAGACTTAGAATTGGACATACAACCTTAAATGAAACACTTCATCGATTGAAATTATATTTCTCCCCTCTATGCATGAAATGCACATCAAGATCTGTCGAGACAATATAACATGTAATATTAGAGTGTCCTTATTATGAATATGCTAGAAACAGAGGTTTTAAAAAAATCAATGGAATTGACAGCGACAGCAATGAAGAAAAAATTAGGACAATTCTATCAAAGCTAGACTGCAATGTTTACAAAGAATTATCAAGTTTCCTGGTCACTATCAAAAGGAACATATGAGGGAAAGGAAAATGAAATTTATAGGAGACTATTCAACAACATACACTGAGACACAAAACATATCCCCTGTGGCCGAAGGTTCTTCTTTCTGTGGTCTCACCTCCTTTTCGGGTTAGGTTAGGCCTGACAATCGCCTGGCCGAGAAGATTTTGCACCCTAACCCTTAATCCTGTTAAAACCATCCTTTATATTTATATCCCTCTTTAAATGGAACACTAACTAACTTAAACATACCTAAAAAAGAAACAGTAAAACTACTCTTAACATAAATGTGTCACTACCAACCAATATGTTCTCAGATTAAAAAGGTGGAAAAATAACCAGCCTAGACAACCACAGACAAAATTAATAACAAGATAAGTAAATAATTCATTACCCAAGTAGACTCATGGCTGCTATGCCAAGTCTTGCCTGTTAGGCAAAAGAAAGAAAAAAAACAAAACAAAAAACAAAGACATAACCTCTCTTAGGGGTTATGATTAGTGATTGTTAGTCCTCTAGTCGGTGGGAATGTATGAAGATTTGTACAGGTTTTTTTTAAGCTAGCTTAGAGTAGTATGGCGTAAAATATCGTACGCCACTCATCCAAAATGTGTTTACCGGACTCGTATGGTAATCCCTCACTCGATTTTCTCTCGCACAGGAACAACCACACTCGTCCGGTAATCACCTATTTTCAGGACTAGTAACGTAATATACTATTACAAACAATGTTTTGTATTCTCTAGAACGTATTAGAGAGAGTAAAATTAAAAGGACACACTCCTATTTAGCTATAAAAAAGGCCAATAAAGTTCTATAATCGAAGTATGTTTGGTTTATTTGTTTATTAATTATTTGCAATTCACAAAGTGAGAATATGTCCCCTGATAAACGTCGTCTTTTGCTTTATCACTTTTGACCAGCATTGCTCATTTGTGCAAGGGTTGGTTGGATGTCAAAATGTACTTCTCACTCTCTTCTTATTGATTTACAATCAACTTTGTCCATTTCCTCACTGAGTCTATTAAATTGTTTTCCTTCTTCCACAAATATGCGTTAAATGTGATGACATCACTAAGTAAATTATTTGAACTGCAGATGAATTATGAATATAGTGTTGTAACAATAATACGTCTACTAATCCACTACCAAAGAAAGAAATCCTTTTCTATGACAGTGTTCTACCCCTCAATGTATAGGAGAAGAGTTACACACTATAGACTGTTAGTGTTAATTCTGTTGTGAACTCATTCACTGATGCTACATCCATCAAAGATCTCTCTTAGGACAATGCTCAAAAGGAACAATGTCTCCCTTTTCTACAAATCTTAGTATATCTCTAACATGTCTCACTCCCAAAATTTACTGTTTCTACGATTAATTAAATCAGTCAATTTCCATAAACTTTCTCATTCCGTTCAATTATTTCCCTTTCAGCCCTGCCCTGATGTATTGTATGACATACCTTGGAGTAAACCTAAAGCAGAGCCAGGGCGAGGCACAGATTCGACGCCCATGGACACTTTGCGCAGGTTGGTTTCGGAAGCACTTGGCCTTTGTAGCATAAGACTAGACAGACCCACGGGATAGCCACTGTCTGACGTGTATTGCCGCAGAGGTGAATAAGTCCTGTGATAAAAACAAGAAAGTTCACATACTAATAGATAATTCAATTCCATTTTGGAGGCTATGTAACATTATAGTTAACCTTTGATACACTTGACTTATACTTTTGATCAAATGACTCGCAAAGACATGTTAAATATGATATTGTGTTGTGAATAAGGAGTTGAGAGATATAGGCTATTGGTCCAAGAACATAAAATATAGAATAGAATGAGAACCTATCACAAAAAAATATCAAAATAATACTTAAATTAGTGTTACATGTGTTTTTACAGTAGCTACCATGTTTCAGATAGTATAACATTTTATAGGGGTGTGCGATGCATCGAAAATGCTTCAAATTCAGATTCGATTCGATTTGATGCATCTAATCGCGATTTGATTCAGTGGTGGTCAAAAAACGATTCGATTCATGAGGGAGTCAGTATCCATACGAAAAACGCCTGCAGAAAGTCGAGGCAATACCCGCAATACAGGAGCGCGTTGATGTTGCGTTTCCTTTGCGAAGGCGTTCTTATTTAATTAATTCTTTGCATGTAAATATTGCTTTAATTGTTTTATAATTTTTTGTTTTGACATTGCAAATGATGAGAGGTTTTGTTTTTCGTCCTGATGTAAGCAGTGTAAGACATGACATTGATGTTTTAGACTGATAAATTTGGTATTTTTGTAGGTCTGATTCTATCCTCTCAGTTTATCATTGCAAACCAATTGCAAGTTTCAGTATAAATCTTACAAATGTTTTTATTTGTTTACACCAAAACATATCTTTATTTGTAAAATCAATATTGTAAAATAGGTATTATGCTTAACAATATGATTCAGAAAGTAAAAATTATTAATCGGCAAGTAAAGCAGCTCACTGACATTTCCAGTAATACAGGTTCTTCTAATATATGATTGAATTAAAAATAAATATATTTTCACCTAAAATTCAAATATTAGGTATGAATAGGCCTAATTATACTTCAACAAAAATTTGCATTACACGAATGTGGTACATTTGAATTATTGTTAATCCACTCCATTGACAAGTATGAATAGAAAACTGCCATATTGCCTCGAATCGAGTTGCATCGAATCAAATCGAAAATCTTCTGAATCGAATCGTTGCTTCGAATAGAAATTGTTTGCTGCTTCACACACCCCTAAACTTTTATAATTTAAAAATAATACTCTATGAGATACAATAGTTCAGTCAACATCAGAAAGGATGGTATTTAAGTTTTTATAATAAATTAAATTGACTAATTACACAGAAGCACAATTTGATACAGCGACAATTTACATTTTACCCATACAATGTTTTACAAAAAAATCATATTACTTTCTTCATGGCTATTTAATTATTTTTTTACTAGAAAAAAATGCTTACCTGAAACGTTCAGCTTGTTGTGCTGCCTTTGCATTTTTGTTACGGTCTCTCTTTTTGGTGGTAGGAAGGGGAGCGGCCTCTTGGTCAGTGGGGAGGTTTGGAAGTTTTCTCCTCATTCTCAAAGACTTCTGGGAGTCTGTCTCACTAAGGGTGTCTGAAGAATCTCCACCTTGGTCCCTTGGGCCTCTAGGAGTTCCAACAGGCGTGCTCTGGGGGGTGACTAAAGGTGTTCCTGAAACTCCAAGTGCTGTTACTGAAACCTAATGACTGGCATTCCTATATGTAGAAACGGGCTGAATAGTTGTCTTCACTTTGTTCACCTCGCTACAGCGGCGACAGATATTGTGTATGTATTTAAAGTTTGATGAACGAAAGGTTTAAGTGAGTGTAGAACGAAGTGGATGACAACTAAGAAGGAGCCGAGTGGAGAGGAAGGGGGTTCAGCTTTCAATATCAGATTTCCTGGAGCAAAAAAACATTGCATTTTTAACCCTATGTTGTTTTTGTGACATGTTGTCTACTGTTATATGTTGCATTATTGACTATTACTAAAATAAGATTTTTGTCTACATTTTATTATTTACATACACTTAAATAGATCATGAGCAACATGAGGTATAAAGCACATACAGAGTAATGAAAGTCTCCAAAAGAAAACGTTTGTAAGTTTAAAAAATCTCTCTTAGCTTAAATTTGAAGTAAAACCTCTGACAAGTATATGATGTAGGTATAAGCTACAGTAGTAGGTTAGTACACATATTTGACAGTATTGGAGAGAAGATAAGGAACTGGACACCGACCTCCTGGTATGGAAGAATGGACCAGTCCAGCAGCCATGATACTGCTGGACATGATGGGTTGACTGCTAGCAGTAGACAGCCTGTTCTGGGTGTTGGTGGCTGATAGCAGTCCTCCACTGATCAACTGGTTCCCCAGCAGCACCCCTTGAGTCAGGTATCCTCCAGAACCTACTTGCTGCATACCCAAACTTGACCCTAGCGACGCTCCTCCGAGAACGTTAACATTGAGGTCCTTCTTCTAGAACAAATACTTGTATCATCCAATGCCCAAGTGGTTCAAAATACAGTTTAGTAGCACAAGTTAAAAATGTGTTTAAATTATTTCTCTGGTCAGTAACAGACTTAAAACAACTTGCTAGGTTAATTATACTAATCACTAAATTAGAATAATTTTCTCAAGAAAACTGTAAAAAAATATTTAGGCAAACAGTTTAGAGTACATTTATTCAAGGTTACAATGAATCTACTAAGTACAGACATTTTTTTACAAAGATCATTTTGGTTAAATGTAAATTTATATCTTGTCTTTTGAATTGTTTATCAACCTCCAAATTCAAATGTATGTTCATTTTAGTAAAAAAAAACATTAGTTTTAAAAACAAGAAGAAACTTACAGAACAGTCCATTACAAATTAAATTCCTAAATTAATTGAATAAATATTTGCTGATTAACACAGCTTTAACTCATCAACCACCAATATTCAAACTTAACTGTGTCTGTACCTGTTTTTGTAGTTGCCCTTGTGTAAGAGTAGATTCCAAGGCAAGATTAGAAGAGTTGGGCAGGGATCTTCTGATCTTCTTGAGGTGTTGTGCATGATGTTGTAATTGCATATGTTGCTGGTACATTTGCTGTTGCTGTGGAGTTAGATTTTGTGCAAACATCGGATGATACTCATGTTGCATCTTTTGAAGTCCAAATTGAGCTTGTTGAAGGGAGCCATCTTGTTGGTCTAGCTGATGCTTTTGTCTTTGCTGTTGTAAGATCAACTGATGTTGCTGCTGCACAAGCATGTTCAGATGTTGTTGCTGTTGCTGTTGATGCTGCTGAAGTACTTGCTGGTTTTTATGTTGCTGTTGAAGCTGTTGTTCGGCCTGCAACAGCTGTTGTTGCTGTTGGAATTGCTGTTGTTGCTGTTGTTGTTGGGCCTGCAGTTGTTGTTGTTGGAGTTGTTGTTCTTGCAGAGGAAGATGCTGTTGTGTTCTTAGATATTGTTGTTGCTGAAGAGTTTTATTGTCATATTGTGTTTGCTGCTGATTTGATTGAAAGTCTATTTGGTTTGCATGTGGCAGCTGTGTTGCATTTTGTTGTTGTGATGTTGTTCTGTTAAAGAACGGATCACCTGCTCTTAATGGCTGCTGCTGTTGCTGAGTTTGCCTATCTTTATTGAAATGATAATCTTGTGCATATTGCTGGGAAGACTGTTGACCATGTTCTGAGTCTAATCTCTCTTCTGTTGGTGATGGTCTGGAAGGTGAATTTCCTCCTAGTCCTGTGAAACAGAAATTTGTAAGATAACAACAAAGATTCATAAACTTTGTTTTTTTTAATCAAACCCTTACAATATTATGATTTCTCTCACTGAAGAATAATATTTAGCAAACAATTATGACAAAATCAAATTAGTAACCAAATGTCACCATTTTCGCAAGCTGTCTACTGAGGGATTTGTAAAATGTAAACCCTTACAGTACCATTGTTCTGGCAAATTGCCAACTGCACTTTACAAATTGTTTTCAGTGGTTAATCGTTGAAGCAACAGAACCTGAAAAGCATGACAATGAGTTTGAAAAATTTCAAATTGGATTTTTTTTGTAAGATGTTGGCGACTTCTTTTAACATTATGGAATTTTCACACCCACATGGGATTCAAGGGCCTTTGTCATAGTAATTTATTCTCTGAATAGATAAGCCTACAATTTGTTAAAATCATATATATCCAGTGCTCGATATGCGTCGGAACGGAGTTCCAGTACCTACCTCTCTTTTGGAATGATAAAAATATTGGTATAAATAGGTACTAATCACATTAACAAAAGTTACAGTTCCGGCACCTCATTTTTTACAAATCGAGCAATCTACATCTGTTGTCAAATTGAATAATAAGATTTCATAAATAAGATACACAATGCCATATAAAACATGTAGATACAATCAGCCAGACATAAATTCTATTAAACTATATGGTTCTTTTTGTACAAGGTATGTTTTCAAACATTGTTTAAACTTTTTATTGTCATGGCATTCTTTTACACTGGTTGGAAAACAGTTAAACATCTTTACACCCACTGAAAAGTTATCTTTCAGACAGGGATAGGGAGATTTGTGAAGAAAAAGATATGATCCATGCCTGGTGGGATACCTATGTCTATCTCAAACAGGAAGAAGAGACCCAATTTTATGCTTGATGAAAAGGAATACTTTAAAAACAAAAAGAGAAGAAAGCGTGAGAATATTAAGATTTCAAAAACTCCCCTTCAAGAGTGCATGGGTGGGAGACCAGATAAAATACAAAAATCTCGTTTCTGTTCCATAAATGCTTTGTTTGCATATGTGGAACCTCCTAAAACCTCTGTCAGAATGAAAGAATCCGTTGTAAACATTGATCAGGTACCTATTTTTGATCAAGGAAAGAAAAAAATGTTCTCAAGTCAAAACTCACTTTGCTCAAACGACCACAAATATATGAAATATGTGGTTATTAGCTGAGAATCCTTCACAACGCCTAAAAACTTGACTTCCGAAAGTTCTTTATTGAAGATAGCCTAATCGTAGTTTTGAATGCAGAAGTTTTTTTTTCATATTAGAAATTGGAAATAGTTAGTTTTACTCTGATTCAAAAGAAGATTATTATTAAAAAGCCAGTCATCAAAATTTGTAATTGAAGAAGACACATATTCCTGAACAACCTCAGACGAGCCCTTAAAAAGCATAATGGTTGGTATCATCCGCATACAACACTAAGGAGTTGGGACAAACATAATCACCGACGTTGTATGGAAAGTATCGAGCAAAGTATGTTATTGGGTATGTTGCTTGCCTAGTGGTTAGGGTCTTGAACTTTGGTGCGGGATGGATGGGTTCAATTCCCAACACATCCACAAAACATACACGTTTGGACCACTTCCCTAAAAGAGTTTGTGAACTCTCTTTGATAACTCTGGAAAATGTCTCTAGCGTAGACAACAATAAAAAATAAAAAGCAAAGGATGAGCCAAGACGGTTGAAGAATGAGTTCCATAAGCAAATTTTAAGTTGCCTTGGTTTCATAGTCTGTCTCGCTATCAACTGAGCTACCGAGTTACAATTTTCCTTACAATAGGATACAAACTCTCTTTCTTCTCAGGAAATATGTTCAGTAGAAGGTGATTATGTGGCTCTTAGACTAGTAGTCCTACAAATTAGATACAGTAGAGTCCCACAAACTCGGTACTCGATAACCCGGCAGTCTGGATAACTCGGCCATCACCTGGCTCAAATAATTAGTGATTTTTTTAATGCGAGTTAAACAAGGACTCAAGTCAGCGCAAGTAAAATCATTCACAACTCGTACCAAGGATTGTTGTACTATATCTGATGACTTAATACTGACTTGTAATATAAATATAAATAAAGAAAGGTGGTTAAACGCTTTAAAATTGCATTGTTCTTATTTTTAACCCTAGTTCCCCGATAACCCATCATTTCACAAACTCGGCACCCTTCCAGTCCACATTACGCCGAGTTTACGGAACTCTACTGTAATTATAAAATCTTCATTCATGCTAAAATCTAATAGGCACAGTTCTCTATAAATAGTTTTTTTTTATTGCTATCCTTATTAGAGCACCAAAATTAATAATGACATATAAAATACTAACATATGAGCAGGCTGCACTGCCAATGTACAATTATCAAACCAGAAATATCAATAATATACTTACCAAGTGCTCTGCTGAAGTCAGCTAACATCCCACTAATGGTACCGGCAGCAGGTTTGTTTTGTCCAGCGTTGCCCTGCTGCTGTTGTTGTTGTTGCTGCTGCTGCTGCTGTTGTGTTTGTTGTTGGTTCTTTTGAAAATTTAAGGGGTTTATCTTGCTTCCAAGTTCATCGAAATAATCTCCCTAAAACACCAAAAAGAACATAGTGACAGTTAAGTTTTTATTGATCTTAACTTTTGAATAAAAAACAGATATATCTTAGAAAATTTATAGAAAATTTAGTTTGTCATTCAAATAATTTTAAGTATTTGAATATTTTTATTTTTAACTATTTTCTATAGCAATTGATACACTTGAAGGCTACAGTTAAGAAAACACATAAACAAAATGTTTCTATATTTAAACCTGTTTGGTAGTGAATTTTATCAGCATGTTTATTATTACAGAAAGAATGTGTGTTGATGAGCAGTAACATGAGTTTTCTATTGTATTTCGAAGTGTTTGTTTAGAATATTAAAATTTACTTGATAATAATGAATTTTAAAAAATGGTTTCAAACTGTAATATGTTACAAATAGTGATTTAAAGTTAAATTGTCAATCATTAAATAGCAAACAGCTATTAGTGAGGTATTTGACCCAGAGTCTATAAATTAATGTTTTTGTTTTTCACAAGAAGATTAATTCCCTTTCCAATAATTATACCTCTTCACTCAAAAGAAGAATTTTCCAACTGAAATTGCCATAATCCTTACTTTTTCAAACTTCTTACATTCATTATTTGTTTAAAACTACTGATAGTTCAAGAAAGACAAAATTACACTTGATAAACAATACAGTACATGCAGCTGGCGTACATTTTTAAACTTTTAATAATCTTAGACCACTAAATAAAATATAATTTTGTATTAATTTGTGCCCACATTTTTAGAGCTCCGCGTTATTACTTGGCCCTAATTGAAGACTTCTTAATGCATATTGAAACTAGCGGTAACAATTAATTTTATATTTAAATTATTAATCAGTGAAGAAACGAATTAAATAATTGAGAATAGTTTTGATTACAAGGGATAAGAAGTGAATAATAAACTAATGATAAAAATGAACTAGCAATTTGGACTGGGGACTATGAAGACAATATTTGAGTATATAATTTTGGATGGATCAGGATGAAAAACCTAGATCCTTTAGAAAAGAGAAAAAAAATTATATACAAGTAGATAATAAAAAGAATACAATACAATAAACAGGACATTAGCAAGCCTGATGAATGTAACAACACAACACAACAATCTTAACATAATGATTTCTAATGTGCATTTAAGGAATGAAGTTAGACAAAAGTTGACTAGCCACACAAATACTTTTAAAATTAGAGTTGTGTAATACATCAATAACCATGCTAGTGCCAAGATTTTCATGGCTATTCAACAAATCGCCTTTCATGAAACATGCATGTCACACCCCTAATTTTCCACATAATCTTACACATTTCAACCAATTTGTTAATTTAATTTCATTGTGTTTTAGCAAATATCTCCAGAGGTAGTAATTACAAGGTAATTACCATAGTCTTTAATGTTAAATATGGGGTTGACAACTCTGCACTTTTTGCTTAAGAGTCTCCAAAAGTCCAAACCACTGTTTCTTCAGATTGTGATATTTAAATGTATCTGCTTGTACAACAACTCTTGTAAAAAATCGAATGAATCTCTAGATTTTAATGAAGTGGATCAAACGTTTAAACAAGATATATTTGAATTAATTTGCTAAATGTCCTGATGCAGACATGGTAAGTGGGATTTTAGGGAGGATTTTGCCTTCTATAGCATATAATATAAAATATGAAAAGTTTTTCTACTAATATTGGATGCGAAGATTCTTCTCAACCTCCACCATGTTACCCTAATTGCTATAGGTTACTTGTTTATTAAGATATCTTAGTAAAATTTTGAAAATTTCTTTAACTAACTGTAAGTTTTTAAAATTTACACAACAATATTTTGTGTTAATCTTAGTAGGAAACCAGTATATATTCATTCTTATTCATAAAAAAGAAAAAAAATATGTTGGGTGTCTTATTTATATTTGGGATCTATGAGTAAATTGAATTTTATGATGAACCTTTTTGAATAAACACATCTATAATCAACATATTTGCTTAGTCTACAGGTTGGATGTGACATATATGTTTCTATACTTTTGGATTATACTTAATAATCCTTCAGATAAACCAAACAAATAGCAAGCTCAGCCAATATCAACATTTAAGTCAAATTAAGCGCTTAAGTTTCTTTTAAATCAAAACGTGTCTCAAAATATTTATTTTGTTAATTCTACAAGCTCCTACGTTGAATTTTAAGATCACAAAACCATTTTTATATACCTTTACGTGACACTAAATCTTTTAGTAAATGTGAAAATGCAAGTATGTTTACCAGAGAGTATTAAGGACTTAGGGTAAAATAAGATGACCTCTGTGTATTGGAGTGACTGTTAAAAGTAAGAAGTGGACATTTTCAGTTTATTTGGGAAATTTTGACACTTTTCAATAGGATTGTGTTTTATTAGTAGTTTATTAGCCCACTTGGAGCTAAGCCTACATCTAAAGGTTAATCAAACACTGGAAATCTTCCAGAAAGTCTGTCACTGAAAAGGTTTTGTACTTGTCTACCGCAGTACGTTTTTAATAACCATTAATTTTTAAGATAGGTCTAGCGAAAATAAGATAGGTTAAGCAGTTATATGCACCTCACAAATAAAACCGGTCTTGTGATTCCTTAATGTAAATTAACCTTAAATTAGATTGGTAAATCTTTCATAAATAAAAGACACTAATTAAATTATTGCACAGAAGAAGAATTTAGGACAAGATGATGTAGTTTGCCTCTGACATGACTGAATGAATGAATAAAGCAGGTTTGTTTAACGACAAAAAGTAGTTTGTAACTTTTGCACAATAGTAACTAGTACCAAAAAAGAACATAACACAGAATGTAGCAGCATATTAATAAGACATTTAAAGGGTTTGGAACACTTCCATAAAAAGCTTTTTTCTTCTCTTTGTTTAAAATAACACTGCCTTTAACACAGAGACAAAAAACTGTAAGGGTTGTTAGGACCGCAAGTAGAGAGAAAAAGTTGCACTATGTTCCAGAATAGAAGAAGAAGTTGATTACCATTTAGATGCATGGTGTATTACAAAGATGTTGGATAATGTTATTCACATCTCTTCTCTTTACATGATAATGCTGCTTTTAGTGTAGTATATTCACACAAAAAGCTTATAAAATCATACATATGAGCATTGCATTTCATTGTAAGCTCGTAAATTGGTAAAGACCATATATGAATTAAGTCCATGCAAGAATATATTTCAATCCCATTTCCTACTAACAGTGTAGTTTACCATATTACATTACACTTCATGGGGGTATTTTATTGTAAGCTTATTAATTGGTATAGACAAACCATTGATTAAGTGGGCACAAAAATATCTTTCAATCCCACTTCCTACAAAAGATATTTGTAGTTGACGATATTACATTTCCTACACTTCATGGGGGCAGCTACTAGCCTAAATCTCTTTCAAATACACCAGAAAGTTGTTGTGATAGGTAAATTATTACTGGTGTAGATTCCACCACACTTAACGGCAACATTAATGAGGTGTATCAATGAGGTACATTTGCACTCATACAGGAAATGTGTAAAAGTCCAGGGCTGTAGCTAGGGGAGGATTTTGACATGGGGAATAAGTGTCTATAGCTATCGCTGTGGTACAGAGTGTCAAACTAAGGTCAGGTTCATATGAGTGACACATCTAGCTGTCAAACTGTGACTAGAGTTTGCTGCGGCCTAGCAAAATACCAGTTCACACTAGCGGAAACTCCACCGACTAGATTGCAGGCATAAACAAATTAGTAGCCTATCAATAACAGATTTTTTTGAAAAAACAATGTTTTTTACATCGCTAGAAAGTGACCGATGTTATGGAAAATTATCAATGATTATTTTTCAACAAAATTTGCATTGGAATAATGACACTCAGTTGATAAAAATTCAATTAAACAATGACAAAAGTTTTACTCCTCTTATTATATATCTCATTCAACTGATTTTGTTGTTGTTGTTACTTCTCTTCTAATACAATTTGTTCTATGCAATTTAGAATGTTTGCTAATTTCCTTTTAATAAACAACGCTGTTTTAAAATTAACATCATCTAATGGAAATCAAAAGATTTTTTTATTGAAACCAAAAGATCATTTTTTATTATTTAAACCAAGACGATTTCAGTTACTAAGACCCAGTGTTTTGCAGAAATCTCGTATCTTTGATGCAGCTGGCGTCTGTTCTGCAAATTCATATATTTTCCGGGAACCTATAATTTAATCT